TTTTACTTCTGAACTTTGAAATCCAATAACTCACGGCTCGGTCATCGAATCGACGTGTTACCGAACGGTTTGCCGAGTTTCGGGCAAGCTCATCGCTCTTCATGCGTTTCGCTCCTTGCGACGCATGGCAGACTACTCCGAAGCTGAAGCCGAATTTATGGAGCTCCACAGTCGGTGTACATCTTGGCATTAAATATAAAGTCAAAGCGACGATATTCATATTCTATGCAGAGATAAATCTGCGAGTTCAAATTTCGGTGCACTGTAGATATATCAAGATAATCTCTCTTGACATAAAATAGAAGAGAAAAAGGAAGAGCTACTTTTGAATAAAAGACGCTTTTAAATAATAATATTTTCTATATCAATTTGAAATGAAAAACTGCCATTTTCCAGAAAAAAAGTATTCTATAAGCGAGCAATACGTAAACATAAATAATTTCCAATTATTTAAAATTAATATGAAAAAACGTTATTATTCAAACGTCTCATGTTCAAAATTGTGCTTTCTCCGCCACATATTTGCATAATTATATTAACAATTATCACTGAATATCATTCTTTGATATCCTCCTGTATCTAAAATAATACATAAAAATCGTAGATTTTTCTCTTTTACTTATACTTTTATGACTGTACGTAAAAAAATATGAGCAAAGTTTGCTAAAGAATTAGAATGTTATATGCAATATAATTTGTCAACATGTTATCAATCTATTATTAACATTTACATCAAACTTCTTATTAACTTCCAATTAATCGATTAATATTTTTAATAATTTTTAGAGAACAAAATTTAACCGATGCAAAAAAATAAAAAGTATACTATGCTGCTTTCTTATTATAAATAATGTGTAATAGAATTTTCTATACATGCTAATTTTTTCATTAAACGTTCTTAAGAAACTCAAAATAATACGTTTATCGCTAAACTGTACAATATTTTTTTCATTATATATATATATCATCCACATACATTTTCTTATTAGATTATGAAAGTGCACACACATACAAAGAATTTTTTTTAAACATTTTTACAGCAGCAATATCTCTCACATTAATTATATTCTTGGTAATAATCATTAAGTACCACATCAATTACGACGTTTAAATCTACGACGTGTTGACTAAACATCATTACACCTATCCTCCGCCCATTTCTTCATCCCTGTCTCGCCAAGGTATATAATTATACTTTAATTATCTTCCACTCGAAGTGACTCCGCGGTTCCGTGTGAGCGGACGTTCGTGTGCGACTAAACACGGTGACTACACAACTCTTACACAGACTAGACGGTATACGTCCACGCGGCACTTCGATCGAGCTTCCCTAATAGAGATTCCGTGAAGCTTGTCGTTTCCTACCGGAAGAAACTTCGATTCCGTGATAACTTAGGGTATGCAATTACCATCCATCTAGCAGATGACTTGGGCAACCGAGCTGGTGCCGACCCAAGGATTGGAAAAGATGAAAATATATTAAAGCACATGGGTCGCAGATTTATAAATTGACAGCAATCAGTGCAGTGAAATTCTTGATTCTAATTGCATGGATAATAATAATGTTATATGATCTTTAATTATTATATTTGAGAAAAAGACCGATCGCTGTATGTAGGAAACCATGTTAAAATGTACCGTTAAATTAATGGATAAGCAAATAAAAAATTCAGTGTAAAAGAAACGTAAGAAGTAAATAAGGAAATGAGAAGTACACAAGAGTTCAGATAAGAAATAAGAAAATTTAGCAAACTTCTCTATTGTTTGTCTGATTTTCCGGCAATTTATTGTTATGATTTATATTATTATTATTATTGATGCGGGCAAATCGAATACACGAGCTGTGCAAATGGCACATTCGAACTATTGTACATTCGTATCGCGAATACTGCAACGGGGCAAATCGATCTGTCATGTATGTATATTCGGAAAGCACGCAAAAGAGTGGAAAATCCATGGTCGTTGGCTGACCCTGCGGGGACCTTCAAGGTGCTCTCTTTCCGCTAGTCGGCCGAATCGTTTCTCTCTTTCCTTTTTTCCGCGTTCTCTCTAGTTTTCTTCCTTCCTTCTCCGTCCGACCATATTCGATGACGGATCGTTCTACTGAAGCGAGTTTTGCTGACTAACGATTTGCTGTTTCTTTCGCTATCTGCATCTTCGTTCTTTCTTTTTTTTTTCTCTCAACAGAGATCAACGGAAGCAGCAGCAGCCATCACCGTTGGCGATGAAATTCCGATCGGAGTCCAAAGCGTCCATGAAGAACTTACGCGGAGAAATCTCGCGAGAGTTACGACTCTCGCGGTCGAGTTAGGGATCGAGAGGCATCTTTTTCCGAGAGGAAGAAAGTCGCTGGCGAGAGATGGGGGAGAGGAGAGAAAGAGAAGAAGCGCCGTAGGAGAAAGAGCGAAAAGTTTTCCCGTACGGACCCATCTCCGCGCTCTGGCGAATAAATAAATAAAGTACGAAAAGACTGAAAAAGAGAGAGAGTATCGAGATTTCTTCGTTGTTCGATCCGGCTAGCATCTCAACCACCTTCCCACCTTCCGCGCTCCCTCCTTTTTCTAGTCTACTTTTATTTGTAATTTTATTTATCGTTTTCCTTTAACGTTAACCGCAAACTCGATACGTACTTTATTGCTTCGCTTCTTACCGATGCTTTTATGAGTTTCGCTTACACGATTTACCTTTGCGGGGTAAATGCGAGAAACGGCTTCGTCTTCCTTCATATTGTCTCTTCTATGGCCACATTTCCCACCGGATTTTTCTCGTCGGCTTTTCTCTTCTATTTTTCGTTCGATCTTCCCGTGTATCTTTCTCTCTACGGCATTACCGCCGCGGTCTTAATAATTCCAGATGGAAATGGAATTTGTACGCCCGCGTATCCGTGCTGTCGATGCAACAGTGATAGTATAGTTTTTCGCTTTCGGCGCACGTGTAAAATCTACTATCCGCTGGGAGGTCTAGTCCTTCATTACGATCTACCATTTGCGTTGTAACGAACGAACAGTGGTTTCGCCACACACCGCGCACTCTGCGCGCTGTGCATACATATAGAGAATTCACGCCCGTTGGCTTGGAACCGGGTTGATATACATTAGTGATTATGCCACGATACTTCGGTTTTATTGTGCGGTCCGTATACCCCGACGAATTATTTAGCAAGCCCTGCGCCACCGAACCGGTCATTTATCGTTGCTATATAGCGCCGAGAACGTTATTGCGAGAAATCCTGCTACAGGTTGGTCATTCGAAAACTGATCAAATGAGCCTTCAGAGTCCTCTTTACGTAGATATAACTTGATTAATGGAGTAAATCGATTGAATTATTGAATGTAAAACTAACATAATCACGACCGGTGCAAATTATGCAATCTCGACAATCTGAAAGGAAATTATAATCCAACTATATAATATGTATCTTTATCTTTTTCATAAATATCATCTTTTATCGGCCTTTTTTTTTATTGTAAAGACGGCAATTTTTAAAAAGTCGCTAAAAACTTTTCCTTTTCTGTTCCACGTTTCATTAGTAGATATATTAAACAATATATATCTATTTCTCTCTCCTTTTTTACTTTAATATAGATCTTCCGTACCTATTTTTTATTCCAAAAAGATTTTTTTATCAGTCAAAATCGCTTTTACTAATCCTAATAGAAATATCTAAAAAAAGATGTCAGAAATTTTTAACGAAGTTCGTTGAACGAGATTTTGTTAGGTCGTCGTAAAATCAGATGTTGTAATTGGAGAGAATAATGAGGGAGGATGTGCCGGAGCGAGAAAGGAAGGTAATAGGTGTTCTGAGAGGAGGAATGCAGAAATTATGTAATGAGGGTGAAGTAGCGTCTTGTTTCAACGAGATGCGCATTATCTCTCTTGCGTATAAAATAAGAGTGTGTATCGATCGATAATTCGTAGAACACATCTTGGAGGTGCGCGTCTGTTTAGCACGATCGTGTTTACGTGCTTTATGAACAAAAGCAGGCAAGAGGCTTTGACCTTTCACAGTAAAATTCTCTCTGATATTTTCATAATTGAGTGCTTTATCGAAAAAGAAATCGAGCGAAAAATATAAGAAATAATAAATACGAGCTGGTCAACCATTTAATATTTTCTTAAGAGAGCATGAAATCTTTTTCTTTTTCAATATTCATAGTCATAAATTAAAGACAAACATGTTTTCCTTGTTAAAGCACTGTTAAAATACCAGTGATTTTTTTTTCTATAAATTAATTAATACCAATTATAATACATGTATATTTATTCTTTAATTTAATATTACATAATATACGAGAAATAAATTATAAGTTGTAATAAAAATATAATTCTGAACAAAATTGCGTAAGTCATAAATGTAACAAAAAATTAAGTTTAGCTTAATTGACTTGTATAAAGAAAATTGTTCTGTGAGAATTCTAAAAAACAACTTTAAGATTCCTATATTAATATATCCTGTGAAAGATTTTGGATATTTTGAAAAGTATAGAAGATTATTTACTTGTAGATAGAAAAGATATAATAGTAATATAAGTAAAATTATACATGAAGATAGATAAGAATACCTCTATCTTAAGCGCTGTCGCAATTGCAGACTAAATTTTTAAATACAAAAATAATCAAATAATCGATGCACGGTTACGGAAATTAATCGCGCATTATTGAACTAGTATATCACAGTATAATTCAAAGATAATAGAGAGTTCAGATACAATATATATAAACTTTATTTATACTTTATATATACTTTATTATACTTGCCGATATTAACTGATATTAAGCCGATATTAAACCGATTAAGCCAATATTAAGAGAAATAGTTTTATGATACTGGGCCATTTCGATTTGAAAGTGCATATATATCATTATGGGATAAAATCTGATCGTAATAAAGCTCCTCGATAATCTGACACAAGTATATGCACGATTGCTGACATTATGACTACTTTGCGCGCACAGAAAGCAGTTGACGTTTGTATGGCTTATATGGCAAACATTCTCACCTGCATTCCAGAAGCGCTGTCTTGCCTCTGAGGATGTACGCCGGGACATTTATTTTAAGTATCTCCAGAGCAGCGACTGAAACAGAAAAAGAGAGAAGAAGCTCGCATGAGATCACATAAATGTCAATTGCGAGTATATACGTCGTCGCCCGGGGGTGCTATCGATGCGACGTCGTTGGAAATGCGAGGCAACGATTTCCCGAGTGTTCGATTATAGTATTGATAATAACAGAACGAAACAGATACTTTTCTTCGTTGAAAGGATCTTGAAATGATCTTTAGTTATAAATATATTTATATATAAGTATACTTTAGAGGAATATAACTCCTTTTTGTCTACACAAAAAAATTTTACTTTTTTTTTTACGTGCAAAATTTACATAGATATATATAAAAATATTTTGATAAAATTGTACTTGAAATATTTTTCTGTACATTTTATAATTTTGGCAATATTCGTTTAAAACCATATGTTATCAATCAATTAAAGATTCATTAAATCAAAATATATCATATAAGTTTCAATAAAACGTAAACCAGAAACACACATTTTTATATACTTTTTTAATAAATATATTATTCTTATTTTTTTTTGCATTATTCTCTATGCACCTTTGAGACTTGTAAAGAAGAATGAAAGACCATAGCAACGGTTTTTGTTAGTTAGATCAAGTTAGATCACGTCAGGAACTCTTGCGAACAAGTGCTACTTTAATACTATTCGGTACCGGTATGTAGTCAGATTTCAATGAAGATGATTTTCAAATGCAAGAGGCTTTCTTTCACGCCTAAATCGGTAAATCTCTTGACCCACTGCCAAGCGCACAATAGAAGCATTAAAAAAGCGGTACTATGGTTACTCGACCTACCGCGGATCTTTTCGCGAAGAAGTATCGCGTCGACCTTTCAATAGTGACGAGGGTCGACAAAGCTTGAAAAATTGTGCCGCGATTGAATGATCCATAGGATTGGAAGTAGATCGCACTAGATGCTCAAATAATGGAGGATAGACTTTATTAAGATATTTTTCTCGCGCGATTTATTCTCTATTTCCTATCTCTCCTTTCATCTTCCATCCTCTTGACATGCTCGATGAGCCAAAAACATCAGAAATATAGCTTTTACGAAACGTATGTTCCAAAATATTAATATAAAATCTTATATAATTGAAAAAAATATTTTTATGATATCAAGTAATTAATATTTATGTAATTTTCATGGTAAAGATAAATATTGATAAAAAATAATAATTATATCATCTAATTAAATACTAAAAAATTATATAATTTTATATATTTATTGACATATGATTATTGTGATTTTTTTGTGTTCTAGGCAAACTATTCTTTGTCTAGTATTTCAACTCAAACTTAGAGAATTGGAGAAATGATATGCGAGTAAAATCAATATCTTTATATAAAACATCAAATTAGATTCTTCGCTTCTTGTTTCAATATTCGATATTCCTAACACGTTTCTATTCTCGTCAGTTAAAAGTAAAGAAAAATCTTTGAGCCGTATAAAGATCTAACAATAAATTCAACTCTTGTATTTTCTTAACGTAGTAGAATGTATATGTGTGATGTATATGTAGATACAACGACTAATAGGGTCGGTATCTGACTTCGTCGTCATAGTCGTCGTTTTGTCGTCGTCGTCGTCGTCGTCGTCAGAAAGACGGGAATGGAAAACAAAAAGGTTAAGAATGAGAATTCCGAGACAGAGACAAGCTGAGATTTTTAGTACCAGATTAAATGTAGAAACTGAAACATTCCAGGCGCGCCAAGTCTTCTCTCGTTTTACATTCTTGTATTCGTAAACGTAACCCATAGGTAGTTCGTAAGACAATGATTTCGTATATATATATTAATTCGCCGTGGAATAAAGCGAAGACTATATTTATACGTAGAATAAAGCGGAATAAAGGAAAATAAAGACTTGTGTCTTTACATGTTAAAAAAGCATGTCTGTGAGAGAAATATGTGTTTAGTGTCAGCTTCTTCCTTATACAAGTTAATAGGAAAAGATTGAGTCTTCGATATATAGTACAAACAAGTTTTATTTTACGGTCGCTCCACCAAATAAAAAACTGATGCAATTAAGATAAACCGACGGCTAAAATAGATTTTCATGAATTTTAAAGAATATGAAATATCACGAAATCTAAGTATTAATATTTTATCATGTACTCAAAGTTACAAACGAAAAAGACAGAGACAAGCTGAGATTTTTAGTACCAGATTAAATGTAGAAACTGAAACATTCCAGGCGCGCCAAGTCTTCTCTCGTTTTACATTCTTGTATTCGTAAACGTAACCCATAGGTAGTTCGTAAGACAATGATTTCGTATATATATATTAATTCGCCGTGGAATAAAGCGAAGACTATATTTATACGTAGAATAAAGTGGAATAAAGGAAAAGACTTGTGTCTTTACATGTTAAAAAAGCATGTCTGTGAGAGAAATATGTGTTTAGTGTGAGCTTCTTCCTTATACAAGTTAATAGGAAAAGATTGAGTCTTCGATATATAGTACAAACAAGTTTTATTTTACGGTCGCTCCACCAAATAAAAAACTGATGCAATTAAGATAAACCGACGGCTAAAATAGATTTTCATGAATTTTAAAGAATATGAAATATCACGAAATCTAAGTATTAATATTTTATCATGTACTCAAAGTTACAAACGAAAAGTATCCACGTTGGAAAATTGATTCCTTTTTTAATTATTATCGACATCTATTTTATATGTACATCATATTGCCTTTCTAACTTTCCGATTAAATCGATTTCATTTCACGACTCGCAACTGCAACATATATCGTCTTCCCCTTTCGCTGGCCTGTCGATTCTTTAGAGCTTCCGACATGGTCTATTTGACAAGGTAAGTACCAAAATTCGTACGTCACTTCAAAGTTTTCGCTCGTCCTAGGATATGTCTAAACAGTTTAGCCAGCAACGCGCGCACGAGAAACGTCAAGCAAACCGAAACTTTCTGCGGAAACGCGCGAGCTTTCGTAATTGGAGATGGGGAGGAATAAGTGGAGAAGGACTTGCATCTGCCTCTCGATTCTGCATATATCTCACAAAGTAAACTGGTAAACTAGTAATGTTCATCTCGGTGGAAATTGTTATGCCCTGTCAGAAACAAGCTGGAAGTGATCTAGGTCCGAGGCAAATCCGAGTTTTGAGATCACCCTAAGCGGATTAGATAAGGGAGAACTGCCCACAACACCAGTGTAACACATTGTGTGTGGTTTTTAGGGCATTATAGTGAAAATCGATGCAATCCTCTCCGTTCTACCGTGTTTTCTTAACCGTTTATAAGCTTAACCTTGATACCATCCTACAAATAAATTCTACATAAAATTTCCGTCGTGATATGCAAATAACATGAATTATATTGTCTGAAAAAAAATCATCCTTCTATTCTGAAGTCCCAATATTTTGCAGTTAATCTTCGTTATATAATTCTCTCTCTAAATACTCTTTTTTATACAACATTCTGTAGAGCAATGTCGACTAGTTCAATAGACAGCAATTTGTGCAAAGCAAAATGTGCACATAGGGTTATTCGTCTACGTGATCGTCGTTCGAGGATAAAATTCAACGCGTCGACATGGTTGGAACTAGACAAACGGGAAATAACGAACGCGTTCCGCGTTAACGATGCGACATTACGCTATTATCCGCAGATCGGAAAGAAAAGTGACTCGCATGCTGCATCGGACGAGTGTAAAAAGCTCGTAGATGTTCGATTAAATTGCAGCTTAATCGCGGGCAACGCGATGATCGATCAGCAATATTGCGTCTTGCCGATCATCGCCAATTTTCGTTTCACAGCGCGTCTCTACTACAATAACGTCCTCATTTCTGGTGTATGTTCCAGCATTGATCGTTGAATTACATGAATCGTGGCTTCAAGATAAGCAATCTCGGCTCGCTCTCGACAAGTCAGTTTTGGTCCTGATGTCGACCGAGAGACTGCGATTATATTCCATCGAGAGAATCGAGCTTCGATTTAGCCTGAGAATTAATTGCATCGGGATTCGGCTTTGCATAGCCACCAGAACCGTCATCCCTTTACAAAATTCGCCAAGTTTGAGGCAACGATCGTAGGCTCTCCATCTACGATAATTTTATGATTCTATCGAAATTTGCATCAAGAACGTTTAACAATCTACAGTTTATTTCTTTGTGGTAAAATCATGAATGACGATAGCTTGTAACAGAGTAAAAGTATAAAAAAAGAAGAGAGCCAATATTATACAAGTTTATAGATCCAATTCTATACAAGTTTTATTTTTAAATAGAAAAGAATTTGAGGGAATATGTGTGTGTGTGTGTGTATGCCCGCGCGTGTGTATATAATAATATTTTAGAATCATAAAAAAATCGATATTATACACTGCAGAATATATTCAAATTAATTAAACTATTTTTCATTAAAATTTAAGTTGTGAGAGATATTTTATATTCTATGTTTGTTGTTGACTTTTTTCATCACTAATCTTCATCTTCGTTAACAGAGCAAATAATATTTCTTTACGAGACGCACACAATCTCACGTAGATTAATAACTTAGCGAACAATGCCATTTTATCAGTCAATGTAACCCGGGAACTACCTGTTCTTGCTCTAAATGACATTAAGAGACACGCTTCTCGCGCGGACTACGTATTACTATGTTAATGCAGGTTATATTGTTCTTGCATTAGACAATGTGGGAAATGCTATTTCTAAGGATATGACAGGCTAATTTTGCTGTAACTTGTGTTGACAGCCTTCCCGTACTATACTTTTGAAGCTGGTAAAAGTGAAATAAAGGAATGCAAGAATATAAGTTTATTCTACAATTTTCTGCTAATGCGAACATTCATTTAAAAATATTTATTCTCTTTTATGAATTTAATAATATTTCTAAAATAATGATGATATAAATTATAAATACAAATAAATATTCAAAATCTGTATATAGAATTTAC